TACTTCTTTCTTAGTTATGAGCCACTCAAGCCCAACTTCCAGACATCTTGCCTGCCTCTGAGAGGATATGCATTGTTAGGTATAATGTGCTGTGGGAAGAAAATAATTGCTCCCTTGTTACTATCTCTTTCACTCAAATACAATGCCCCTGGGAAGAAAAGCATATCATCTTGTCCCATTACTTCCAGGGGCATTTGTGGCCACTTGATAAAATACTTTGTTCAATACAAAAAAAAAAAACAGAATAAGGGTACAATCCTATAGTGGAGTGGTGTGCCCTGTTTGGGGCAGTATCACCAGTGGTAGAGGTAGCGCAGCAGGACTTTCCACCAGCATACCATTCACTCCTCCGGCTGCTTGTCGTTCCTCTCGACTGGAAGAGCAGATCTGACACTGCTTCCAACTGCTTTTCATGTAGCCCATGGCCATCTTTTAGATTGCTCTGCCAATGAACACATCCATCTCAAGTTGCTCTTTCCTAAACAGTTCCTTCTGTGGGAGGATGGGTCATGCCTTTAACAAAGACAGTGCTGGATTTATGTATAAGCTAAACAAGCTATAGCTTGGGACCCCACTCTCTTGGGCTCCCCCAAAAAATTAAAGGGGGAAAAAATTAAAGGGGGAAAAATATAAGATAAAAAACAAATAAAACAAAACCTACATACAGCAACAGTGTTTTGTGTTGTGTAGGCTCCTATTTTGTTATGTGCAAATGGCTTTAGATACCTATTAGGTCCATAAATTACCATATAGCTTATATTCAACACACAAAAACAGTGATAATTTGTTGTTGACAAAGGATAGCTGGACATATAAAGGGCCCCATCACCTTCAGTAGCTTAGGGCCTCATCAAACCTAAATCCGGCCCTGAACAAAGATCATAATATTAATACACTTTTCTTAAAGCATAACCTGTAGTTTTTATCTCTACAAATATTTATTCTGGTGATGATTTCATTGTTTGGAATGCAACAAATCTGTCTTTCTTCTTCAGGAAACAGATGTTTTCAGTGGTGGGAGAGTCCTATGTTAGGATGTCTAGTCTTACATAGATTAGCCCTCTCTGTGTTCTCAGCTGATTGGTCTAAGATTCTCTGAAACTTAGTCACTACATATTAGAAAATACATTATCTATTGAAAAAACAATACAGTGAGAAAAAAATACAGTGACCTTTTTCTGCACAGATTTGAAACATTTTAAGTGGTGAATTATCTGCTGTAGATTTTTTTAAAGGAAAATAAAAAAGGTTGTTCGCATCAAAACCTTTATCATTGCTCCCCCAATTATTTTGAATAGTGGTGGTGCATATTTGTATTCCTGGGTTACTTACAAGAAGCAATGGTAAAGTATTTTCCTAAAATGAAATTGCTGCCAAAGAGCTTATGTTGTTTATCATTTATGTTTATATAAAATTATGAGTAGTGCCATACACATCAAAATAAACTCTCTCCTGATTCCAAAGCTTGAGGGAGAAAAGATGTGAAGCTCCTAAAATTTAATGATTCAATGATAAAAAAATAGATTTAATTTAGTTAAAATGTTCACTGCCAGTCTGTCAGCCAAAAGACTCCAGCAGTGTCTCCTTGTTTCTACTTCTCTCTTGTTTAGCAAGCATATGCAACAAATCCATACATTAGCATAGTTCAGTTTGAAAAGAACCTTAACTGGGAAATATGGGTCTTTTGACTTTTCTGCCATAGTTATGTTCACTATTTTACAGAGAAATGGTAAGATGTGAAAACAATCACCTAGTTATTGTCTATATCATGAAATTAGGTGGTAAAACAACAAACACAGACCAAAACCTACAGACTTGGAAGTACCATATATAGTTAAAAAGTGAGGGCTGTTCATAGCTAAATATAGGGTGCCTTTTATTCATCCATAGGCTCTGATTGTTCTATTAGTGACCTTCCACTCTCTAACATTCAAGATACTAACACATGTTAGTAATATACTGTAGATAGTTATAGATATTCAGGGTGCTTGTTGGCTCTGTATTCCCCAAATAATGTGTCCAATTGATTCGAGACATTTCTAAATCAGACAATACAGTACCAAGATGCCTTGAGGTGGATTATTTTTTCCAAAAAGTTAAAATACATGAACTCCCTGCCTTCAACCATTGTCTTTTCTGAGAAATCAAGCTGTCTGGGGAAACACCCAGAGCTTGAGAGGGGAAGGTGGATAGGAAAGGAGAAGAGAGAGAGTGAGAGAGAGAGAGACATGGGGGTATATTACATTTGGACAGACAGGACTACTTTTCATCACAGCAAATTATTTTTCGGTATCACTCCAATCAGCGTGATCTAAAGAAGAGATATTGAGGGAGAGAGAATGAAGATCCCAAGTTGTTCCTCATGTGGGTAGTCATTCTCCTTTGTGGTTTGGCTGTGAGAGCATAAGCAGTGGAGTTGGACTATTGAGGTGGCCTGCTTTTTCCCATTTGTTCTTTTTACTGACAAACAAAAAGAAATAAATGCTCTTTCTTTTCGTCATGAAGGGTACTTCCAGGAACAAGGGGTGGTGGAAAAACCCTGTGCCTTTCCCCCCCTTTAAAAACAAAGCTAAAATTCACCTATCAAAATAGCCACTGAGCCCATTTGTCTGAACTTCAGCAGGTTTCTTACTTGGGGTAACTCCCTGATATTCCCACTTTTGGAAATTGATGTACCATCAAAAATTATGGGATGAAATGTGTCTAGTGCCCACCCTTGCAAGAGAACCACCTAATTTGGCGGGTTTAATATCCTCAGAGGGGCAAGAATGCCTGCAATTTGCATCTAATTCTGGCAGAAAATACTAATTTAAAAAGTTGGGTACTTTTTCTTACAAAAAAGTAAAGCAGTTATACAAGAAAATTCCTGTCTGGGTCTGACTAAAACATGGCAGACTTAATCCTCAGGAGGGGTACATTTGCCTACAAATTTCATCCACGTGCACGAAAAGGAATAAAGTTACAGTTTCAGATTTAACTGATGAGATCCGGACCCAATAACTAATGTAATTGGGATGGCACAGAACAGATTCAAAACAGATCGGGCTGCTTTCAAATGTTGCAAATAAAGATAAAAGGCAAATCTTGTGGTGGATTCACATAATTTACATTTCCATCTGTTAGTAAAAAAGAAGAAAGGAAACAACATAAATGTTGAACCACTTAGTTGGGTATGAAGTTAGCCAAAATTTGTGGGCCCCTGGAGATCCACTGTATTAAAATACCCACATTTTAGAATTGTTCAAAGTCATTTAACAGGCATTGTTGTTAACATTTCCCATCTACTTTTAACAGTCAAATTTTTGGTAAATCAGCTGGCATTTTGACTGGGATGAGTTAACTGCACTAATAGTTTATATGTTTTGGCCATTAGTTATATTTTGAGCAATTTTTAAGTCAGGAAAAGAATGAAAGATTATTCTCATTTTTGCCTCAGCTATCTTGTACTAATATGGGAACTGTGGGCCAATAAAAATATCAATATTTTTTACCATCCTGAACTTTTCCTCTCTTTCTCTATGTGAAGCTATTGCTGTCAGACCTATACATTTAAATCTGTCTCTAGAGACACATATGCAGAGTGAAGGTTGAAGTTCCAGCTTTCAATTTTATTTTGTATTTATTTTGGTACTACATTAACGATGTTGTTGACATAAACGTTCCTAATAACCTCGAGATTTCGCCTTTCAGTTGTTTTTTATGTCATCATCACAGATTGATATTGGCCATTTGGTGATACTGAAAATGGAAAAAAAGAAGATTGCTCTTCACTGGAGCAGATGTAGAATTGCTGTTGGAAGGTCTTGAACGAAAATATCTTATATACTGGCTATAATTCAGGGCTCGAGACAGCTAGTCTTGAGGAGTATCAAAATCAGTGAGATGGCATTGTTTTCCTCCTCAGCAAAACAAAGTTTCAGGGCCAGTTCATAGGAAGACATTTTTTATATAACTGTAACTATCACATTATACTTTGGTTGTGCCAAATGCCTATTAAAGGTAAAGTCTTAGGTGAAAGAAAGGACTTTATGTGTCTTATTCTGGGACTTGGGTAATAATATATTACTTGTACCCTGCCCATCATACATTGAAATCTTCACGATACAGCTCTGCCTTCAGAGGTCTATGGAAGGTTGTATAATCGTTTTTCTCTTTGACATCTGAAGGGAGGGCATTCCACAGGGCGGGCACCACTACCGAGAAGGCCCTCCGCCTGGCTCCCTGTAACTTCACTTTGCGCAGAAAGGGAACTGCCAGAAAGCCCTCAGAGATGGACCTCATTATTATGCCTTCCAGTGCGCAAACACATATGTTATGTAGTGGGGGGGGGCATGGAACTGGAAAAGGGACAGAGAGCTTGTTCTTCTACACAGCATGCTAGCTTCACACATGTATACACACCCTTACTTACCTAGTTCTACATGTGCGCATACAAAGGTTTTTGTGCATCTTATTGTGTAGAGCAATCCTGAGCATTTAGCTGAGCATGCTTAGGATTGCAGTCTTAGCTTTGTAGACACAGGCTATCCACAAGTGTGAGTGTTAAAGTGAAGAACATAGCAGGTTGACCCTGCCAGGGTCCTTCCCATAGCTTTCCTGGTGCATTTTAAGGGTGTTTAGGCTGTTCCATCATTCTAATCTCCAGTAATAGCTAATCTTTTTTGCCATAGATTTGCAAACAGTCTGGGGATTGATATGCTTAGCACTCTCAGTGGACTCATTTAAATATAATTAGATATGCTTTCTTACAGAAGTTTTCTGGAACTGTTGGAACAGTTCCACAGAAATGAACGCTCGGGGGGGAAATATCTCTAATTGTATGTATGTTCATTTACAAAGTATTCTTTTTAGTGAAAATAGTGGCAGGTGGAGCTTCTTTTCAGGGAGAAAGGGCTTGAGAGGGCAAGTGGACTGAAGGGGTCTCTCCTATGGCTGTGTCACTTGACTGTTTCATAAATAACCTTGAAAAATAGTTAGCACTAGAGGAATGAAGAGTGATAGGATGTGAGGGCGATCTGGCTGCGACATCTGTCACCCCATTGATCGCCAGGGTTGATTCGGCTGATCTGGCTGGCTAGGCGGGTGTCCCCTTCCTCCCTCACCGCTCCATGTGTGTCCCTCCCGAAGCTGCGCGCTCGGTGGAAGAGGACGACCATCCCAGATAGAAGGAGTGTACCGTTCTTCGGTCAAGGGTATACAATAGCTGCGCTCCCCTGCTAGAACCTCCAAACAAGCTCAAGGAATGAAGAGCGATATATCCCTGCCCTGTCTTAGGACACGTTTCACAACTAAGATCAAGCTTGTGCTGCCTTTTAGTTCCAAGGCCTGGTATTCATGTTGCCCTGGCAGTGTGGCAGCTACCAGAATAGTGTGAAATGCCCCATATAAGCAGGAAGAGTTCAGTTTGTGGCTTGCCTCCACACTATCATTTAGCCCTGGGCAACTAGCTTTAACTCTGGCATTGAATGGACTCCTGCCATGTATGTGTTCTTGAGCTTCTCCTGTTACCCAAGTGCCATAGGAAGGAGCAGTCCTGGTGTGATTCCTACATTTGTTGCCAGAGTAGCATAATGGCCCAACCTAACCATCTATGTGCATGTCCCGATCAATATTAAACATGCTTACATTACACTGATTCTATACTTTGAAGATTGTACTGTCTGATGCATATCTTGAATTTCAATTTGTATTCTGTGTAAACTTGAATTTACAAGAGGTTCTTTTTCTTATGATGTCCCCTTTTCAGGGTTAGGAAAATAGTTTGCTTGCCTGCTGCTCTTGAAGTTAGTTTGTATTTTTTAAATTCAGTGGAAAAGTAACCACAACCATTGAATTAATGAGCTTATATTTTCTTTTTTTTAAAAAAGTTGCATAGCAATAGAATGTCAGCAGTACTAAACTGGCTTTCTGATCCAAGAACATTAAATTATTTTAATTACATTTTTAATTATGTTTATTTTTTTTAAATGCCTTTATCCACAACACTGCACCTATTCCACTTGAGGGAATTTCATGATTCTTCTATTTTTCAGTCAAAAAGTTTCCTAGTCTGAACTTTCAGTGATGCTTTTGAAACTATCTAATACAGTGGTACCTCAGGTTAAGTACTTAATTCGTTCCGGAGGTCCGTACTTAACCTGAAACTGTTCTTAACCTGAAGCACCACTTTGGCTAATGGGGCCCCCTGCTGCTGCCGTGCCGCCGGAGCCCGATTTCTGTTCTTATCCTGAAGCAAAGTTTTTAACCTGAAGCACTATTTCTAGGTTAGCGGAGTGTGTAATCTGAAGCGTATGTAACCTGAAGCGCATGTAACCCGAGGTACCAGTGTACTTCTTGACTGTGTCAAAGTCTAGTTATAAGCCATACTGATCTAAGATAAGAGTCCTGCTGAAAGTGGTGGCAAAGTGCAAAATAAGTTCCCAACCCCACTCCCACCACCCCTAAAAAGTATCCATGGGCCCAGTACTGGTGCTGTAGATGTTTGTGATGTCCATATTTAAGTGACACTTCCTGATGGGCCGGCATTACTTGTTCTTGATTGATCCATGTGATATATATATAAAACTTCATCCTTGACAGAGTATCATTTCTGAGAAAGTATTGTGCCCCTGTTTTGGTATCTACATATTTTTGTACCTTTTCACTCCTTGGTGCACAGCCTTACTTCAATGCCAGCTGCTGACCATTGACCCAGAAGAGCTCGGTGAGAAGGTCTCTTGTCCCCAACTCTTTCATTTCCCTAGGTAGACATGAGTTAGAACTGTTAGGTTCTTCTTCCTCTGATGTGATTGAGTAAGAGTCAAATGTCCTTGTTGTCTATCTTTGGTCTGTGCTGCCGCATTGTCTGGCTGATTGATTTGCAGGGCACTGTTTAACGGAGCACTGGCTATTTGTACTGTGGAGGGCACAGTGTGTGTGTCATTTGTCTCATTTTTGCCTTAGTGGATGGAGGCTTTGTTTATCTGAAAGTAGCATTGTCTAAGGACAGAGGAAAAGCAGCTAGTGCTAATTTAAGGAAGCCAAGAGGGACTGCTGTGGGCTCTAGTGGTAACTAATGAAGATGTAGAAAGCCAAATAAAAAAATCTGCTTCCTCGGCCAGCAAGAACAGGAAATATGTTTTTAGGTTGCTGTGAAGCCAAGTAGCTAATGAAGCTTCTGAGGGCAAATGCTCAACAGAAGGCCAAATGCCAGAAAGATTAAAGTCACAGTGTGATTCTAAGAGATGGAACACAGTCTCAAGAAATCAAATCACCATCTGCTGATCCCTCCCCCCCCCCCCCCGGTGAGCATTACCTCTGCTTCAGAATTCCCTCCAGAAAGAAGTTAAGTTAGCCCTAACCATGGTGGTTTCTAGGCTGAAATAAACCCCTTTTTATTTTGCCGGGCTTTCTTTTTTAAAATAATATTTATTAAGTTTTCCAATTTAACAATCCAATGAATACCACATTAAAACATTCCACATTATAATACAATCAAAAAAGCCAAATTCATGCCAAATTATATGTCTTTGGGTGACTTCCATTTATTTTGCCTGGCTTTCAGTCATGTTAGAATTCTGACTTTTTTTCATTTCTCTGCTCTCTCAAGCTTTTAACAAACTTTTAAGTCTGATTGATTTCACTGGATCTGCTCTAAACAGAACTAAATCTGAATCCACCCAATGTTTTAAACTGTTAATGAGCCTATTGTTTTAGGGCAGTGGTTTTCAACCAGTGTAGCGTGGCACCCTGGAGTACCTTGAATGATGGTCAGGAATGCCGCAGGCAACACTGGCCTCTGTCCCTCTTTCCCTCCTGCCTTCCTCTGGTGCCCTCTCGCCTATCTGCCTCCCAGAGGCTTGCACAGCTGTTTGTTGCAGCGGCCCTGGCTACAAGCTCTCCAGGCAAATTGTGCCTTACCATCTAATAAAAGAAATCTGATTTAAATATTTCTAAAATTAAGGCATCATTATTTCTACTATATTTCTCTCCTGCACATAAGTGCCACCTTACTAAAGCATTCTAGCAACCTGTAAATACTATCTTTAATTTCTTTCTTTCTTGGGGGTAAACACCAGTACTTTAGTACATAAAGAGGTTGCTTATATACCTTGCTTTGAATTAAGTGTAATTTTGTTCTCTGAAAGCAGCCTTCCTAACAGCTTCTCACACTTGTGCAACTTCTCTCTAGTATAAATTGACATTGATTATCTAAGTGACTCTGGACAGGACATGCTTGCCGACAGAAATAATAAGAGGCTCTACTAATGCTTCTTAAGACTGAATGCCAATGCATGCCCTTGAGGGACTTAAACAAGGGAGTTCAAAATTAGCTGGAGCACTGAGTTGGTCACTTGTTAAATAATTATCATTTACTTATCCTGCTGAATCTCCCCTATGCTAGGCTCCCCATTGGGCACATAAATTCTTTCCCATAGCTCAAATACAAATTATACGTATGTGCTTAGCAGCTTAAGCCATCATGCACAGAAGCATGCTAGCAAAACTTTTATGATGTTCTTAAAATATTTATGCAACTGGATTCAGCGAGAGGTAGCGCTTCACCCTCTTAAGATAACGTGCTTCTATCAGCTATTGGCTCACATTAAAAAATAAAAGACATGTACCTTTGGGCAAAGCTTTTCACATTTATGGTGTCCAAGCATACCAGAGTGTGCAATTCATTTAAAATGCAGCACATTCTCATGGTATTTGAAAAATGTATCAGAAATCAAAGGAGTTTTTATAAGACTGGTTTCCAAAGGAGCCCTGGGATTCCTGAACAATATCAGTAGTGGTTGACACATTTAAGTGAAAGACAGTTAGTGGACCACCACCCAGCCTTTCCTGTCAGATGTACAACTGCAAGAGAGCTGGCCACATTCTAGACTTGGAATGACAGCTAGGCCTGAACAGTAGCCCCACTGAAATGAATATGCCCCATAGAATAGTTTGTAAAGTGTTATGTGTGTAGGTGATGCTGCATAAACACCTAAATCAATGATACAAGTCAGTACGGAAAGATTTCTCTGAAGGCAGGTTTGAAAACCACTGCCATGGTAATATTGGTGTTGATGTTCATATGTCTTTTTGTGTCTAGACCAGGAGTTCCCAAACTTAGGTCCATTGACCACCAGTGGGCTGTGAGCTTCAATCAGATATCCACCATGTGTCTGTGGATTTATGGTTGTAGATGGGAGAAAGCATAGCCATTGCACTGAATATTCATGTAGATTTTAAATTGTGTATTTATTTTATTCGTGTGTGTGTGTGTGTGTGTGTGTGTGTGTGTAGTATTGTTTTACTGTCAATTTGGGCTGGTGGCCCAGCTACACCTCTATCTGGACAGGGATAGCCTAACGTTTATCATCTACGTTCTGGTAACCTCTAAGTTGGATGAGTGCAATGCATTATATGTGGGGCCGCATCTGAAGACAGTTCAGTAAGTGCTGCAAAATTTTGCAGACAGACTGCTCACCTGTACAAGACAATTTGAGAATATAATGCTGATCCTGGCCTGACTGCACTGGCTCCCAATTCAAAGTGCTGGTGCTGACCAAAAAGCCTTACAGGGCTCAGGGCCTCAATACCTTAAGGACTGCCTCTCTTCATACCAACTAGCCCAGATCCTGTGCTTGTCATCCAAAGCCCTTTTCTCTGTCTCCCATCCCAGAGGGGTTCAGAGGGTGCCAGCATGAGAGCAGGCCTTTTCTGTGGTGGCTCCTCATCTGTGGAATGCTCTTCCTAGAGAGGCTCGCCTCGTGCCATCATTACGCGTCTTCAGGCACCAGGCGAAAACATTCCTCTTTATCCAGGCCTTTTGTCATTAAATAATATATGGCCTGTTAAATTATGATTTTTATTTTTTTATTATCCTGTGTGTTATTATGTGTACTGTGGGGTTTTTTTATTATGCTGTGTAAAATATGTTCTTAATGTTGTACGCCATCCTGGGATCTTTGGATAAAGGGCAGTCTAACAACTGAATAAATAATAATAGCATCTGTATGCTCTCAGCCTTTGAAATTCATAGTCTTGGACCTTGTGGCTTTGGGATTTTTCATGTTATTTTTCTTTTAATTTTTACAAACTTGCATTTCTGCATACCTAAAAACATCCCCTGAGTATTTAGAAACCAGGCTCTTATTTTTTTGAATGATACACAAAGGGCATTAAATAAGTGAAAATTTCTAGCTAGACTAACAGAATCAGTTGCAGGGCAGTGCACTTGACTGGCAGCTCGCTCTTCATAGTATAGATGCCCTTGTCCTATAAAACCCTTGGACTATTATTGCTTGTTTGAATATTGCTGATATTTTTAGAAAT